TACAGTTTGAAAAGCACGCATGCATCAGTGTCCATCATGTTTATCAGACAGAATAAAGTAGCAATAACACTAAGAATCATATATTTATGATTCAACTTTCGTCTCACATTTTTAGCTAGTTTGAAAATACTTCCATGTATTCTTCAGCGACCTTCAAGCGGGCTGCCTATACAAATTAGATGCAACAATTTATGTTTCGTTAGGCGAGGGGAAAAGTGACGGTCAAAATCCTGCTTCATCAAGATTTTACAAGAAAAATGTGATACCTCTGTGCTGCCTTCAGTTTTAAATGACTCTGGATCCATTACTATCCCTCTAACTGTCGCTTTAAACCTGGCAAGAATCGCTTCACCTTCACCTGATGTCCACATTGAAAAACAACAAGCATAAGCCCAACTGCCCAAGACGCAACACTTTCAGATTCACAAGACAAGAGGGGGTACAATCGAGAAATACACTTGTGTTCCTGGTTGTATATGCACCCTATATGAGGATTTATTTTTAATATTTTAGTAAAAAGTCAAAATAGGTAAGAACTATTTTGACAAAATACTTGACTTACTTTTGCACTAGTATATAAATCTCGATGAGAAAAAAACAAAAGTTGACCTCACAGCAAAAAAGACAAAATTTATTTGCCATTGTAGGTCACTATTCACACTATTTTAGCCAAAAATTTGTCGTTTTTGAAAAGAAGTCAAAGGGATATTTTTTTTCATGGATTTTTTTTCTCATGAATACAATAGAAGGTCAAGTTTATTTCAAAAATATTTTCAGGAATTTTCGACTTTTTGTTGAATTACTAATTTTTTTTCTCATATAGGATGCATATGTCCCCATAGACCAAAAGTTCCCCTCCGGGTACAATCACAATATATTCAAGCAAGTAATACTAGAAACAAAAAGATATTCAGTTTGTGAACTGGGTCACTGTAATCCGAACAGTTCTTCATGTAATACTATGAACAGTAGAACTGAATATTTCTGCTAAAATGCAGGGGTGACAATACTTGATGTTTCCTGAAATTCATAACCATAAGATGTATGTATCTAAAACTTGCGTGTTGAGTGAGCGATCTGCGAGACATAATTTAAGTTCCCTTATGTATAACTGCTTCAGATTCAATCTCCTCAAATGAGGAAAAATACATCCAAAACAGAGAGATATTCAGAACAAATACATGATGCATTATTATTATTATTATCTTCGAGAAGACGCAAAGAGACTTCTGCGTTTCTTTTCATTGAAAAGGCAGAATTCAAATTACAATCCTCCCAAGATATACAGAAAGTGAAAAATGCAGAAAAATTAATGTACATCCCAGGTCTGGGGCAGAGTGTCGCAAAGCCTGGAAGCGCCAGCTCTAGCCCAAAGTGTCGCCTCGTCCTTTAGCAACAAGATTGCTGACTGAAGGTTGGGCGCCCTCTAAGACATAGTCGTTACGGAGTTTCCAGATCATACATGGGGTGAGCAAGGCAATGGAGGCGAGGCCTTTGCGCATGGGTTTCAGGGTGCGCTGTTTAGAAGCGCGCCACCAGTTCAGAAGGGAAGCATCATGGTTCCGCGGCGTGCAAGACATGCGGAGCCAGGCAAGTATCTCGTGCCAAACCTGTCTGTAAAACAGGAAGCAGAGCAGTAGGTGGTGCATCTCTCGGGGCTCTAGCAGCAGAGGAGGCACGAGGTGTGGGGCTGGAGGCCGCGGCACGCAAGGAGGTCGGTGGTCATCCAACACCGATCCTGAATAGCGAGCCAGTGGAAGAAGCGCACATGAGGGGGCGCCCAGTTCTTCCAAATGAACTTCCAGGAGCTGTTGTGGGTGGAACCCTGGAAGGTCACCTGATAGCAGGATTTCACAGAGTAAAATCCGCTCGAAGTCCACTTCCACAGGAGGCGATCAGGTTTCATGGTCAGGGTAGTGTGCCCGACAGCATGTTTACAAGTGAAGTCATAGTGCTGTCACCATAATAAAAAGATAATGCTACATGTATGGTTACACATTGACATTAACTAATGTTAGAATACTGTATACCATAAGGAAGAAGAACATGATTTCCTCATACTCCCTCCGTCCCAAAATTCTTGTCTTAGCAAATCTAAGACAAGAATTCTGGGACGGAGGGAGTATTATGCATGTAGCAGTACAAGAAGTGTAGTATTTTCACAAGCTGAGCAGGGCAGCAGCAAGATATTTGGCAATGTTCAAAGCAAGATGATAAAACAGAGCCAAAGAGATGTCACGTACCCTTTGCTTTGTTCACCCTTTCCATCATAGCAGCTAACAGAAGAAAAGAAGCAATAAGTTAAATCTGGACATCCGAGTTAGGTTTAATCAAATGTAATACTATATATATATATGAGCTGAATCAGTAAACTCGGCAACCCAGCCAAGTAGCAAGACATACTAGTTTGCAAATTACATCTAGCATGCATTAGTATGCTGGCTGAACCAGAGCACTTGTCAAGCCGCACGCATACTTTTCACATACGAAACAGAAGGTTCTTAAACTGAAGAGCGGTTTCAATCAAATTAATATAAAGGCTAAAGTGCCGACATTACATTCTGACTCAATGATCCGAGCACAATTCCTGCATTCTGCTTCAAGCTGCATCTCCATGGCTTTCTTAGCTCCCTCTGGAGGAGTAATGCCTAAAACTGGACAGTTTGTAGTTATTAGTAATGGAATACAGATGCCGTATTACGACATTTGACACCCCATTCACACGATGAAAAGGAAAAAACCATACGTATGTCGTATTTGAGGCATTTGACACCCCACTCGCATGATATACAATTGATTGACTTCTGCAGATAGAGAAACAAGACAAAACAATTTGTTAGATGAGTTCGCAGGACCATGAAATTTAGGAGAGAGGCTTGATAGTAGGTACAATGATGTTGTGGTTGAGCGTGTCTCTTTCCTTAAAGGCCTTGTCAAGGGTAACCTTGCCAAGTTCACTCCTTGCAACACACTGTGCAAGCTGGGTGACTGCATCGATGGGGTCCCCCTCTACGGCGTAGGAAGCAAGGAAGGGATCGGCAATCTGTGCAATTCAATTTCATTCGAGTTAGTTTGTAAGCTAAGCAAGCTTCCTAGGGTTTAGTTTCCTCAAACAAACAAACAAACAAAAGCATTCCTAGGGTTTAGGGGTTAGAGTCTTAGAGATGACCTTGACATGGAGCACTCCTCCGATCTGGATCAAGGCGCCATCCTTTGTGATGGCAGGGTTGCCGGGGATTGGGATGGCCTCCTCCTTGAGCGAGTGGACGTAGGCGATGCGGTCGACGCCGGGCACGAGGAAGTGAATCCCCGAGGAGAGTGTCTTGTGGTAATAGCCTAAGCGCTCCACCACAAACACCTTCCTCTCTGGCACGATGTTCACGCCCAGGTTCGCTGGGGTCGACGGCGGGTCTGCGGCCACGGTGGCTCCCCGGTACCAGCGCAGCCCTTGTACCTGCAGCAGCGCCGGGTTGGGTTCCGGGCGGCTGGAGCGGAGGAGGCACAAGGTGGAGGAGCGGCGCGCGTGAAGGCGCATCATCCGGGTCGCCGTTGACATCGCCATAGTAATAGAGTTTATCTATCTCTTCTCTTCTCTCCTATCTTCTCTCTCTCCTATCTAACCCACGATCGGTTTCCCACCCACGATAATATGATGATTTTTATTTTGAGACACACGATGATGATACACGCTCCTTTTCGTCAGGGCCCCGGCCGGAAAAAAAGAATGGAGGAACCGAGATGGGCTAGGACCAAAGTGTTGATTGCTAGGGATAGGAAAACGTGCGTCGCACGGCCGCAGACCACACGCGATCGTTTCGTCGCTCTTGCCGCTGGCAAACATCGCTTGCGATTCTTTTCTCCGCCGTGTGCTGCCGCTGTTTCCGGCTTGCCGCCTTTGCTGGTGTTGCGCGCCTGCCTTAGCCGGCCGGCCCGGCCGGCGGCCACTCAGTCACTCACATCCGGCCATCCCATCAGTCCTAAGCCGGCGACTTGGCCTCGTCCAGGTCGTTCCTCATCGACCCAAGTCCTACCTCCGGGATGGATTCTTCGACGCTGTCGCACAGCTTGGAGGCCAAAAAGTGAGGAGATCGACCCATCCTTTTGTTTCAGTCTATCTATATGTTGATAATTTGTTCAGTTCTTAGTTTCCTGGTAATTTTGCTTCATGGCAGATGCAACTCTGAATACTATTATAAGTATTATAGGAGTCAAAGGTGAAGGGCCTAACGATCTACTTTCTCAAGAGCTTCGGGCATGTATGGATGCGTACACTTAGGTTTTCGTTTCTCTTTCTCTCTTATCAAATTAAATTGTTTTAGCAAAACTGATTAAATTAATGCAGAAAAGCAACACCATGATTTTGGTGATCACTCGGTAAAATTATAATATCTATAGTAGGAGTACTTATTAAAATTGACGTGCATATTCATGCTTTTGTTTTTATATCATCTTAGTTTAAATAAATTGTTGGATGAGTCTGTTATATATTTTTTAGAATCATACCTATTTATTTAGTACACTATATGCATGGGATACAAAGGCCACTAGGTGTAGCTGTCCGCCACACACGGTGAGCAACCTCGTATTTCTATGAAGAGTGCGCCTCTTTTGAAGATATTTATTCTTGCTGTAATTTCCTCCACAATCTGGGAACCAGATCGTCTGGCGTAGGTAGAAGTATTGCAGAGGGTGAGGGACGTCGATCGTTTCCTACCGTCCCTTGCGCATCCTATGGTGGCCGTTGGAACTTACCAAGACAGCGCTCGACGTTCAAAGGCCTTGCAGCCCACGAGCGAAATCCCCCCATGAACAGCCCATTCACCTCAGGAAAAAGAAATAGCGTAGATACTGCCGATGCCGCTGCCAACACGTAGACTAGGGAACTTCTGTATGATAAAACAAAAGACTGGGGAACTTACGTGGATACTGCTCTGTGATGCTCGATTGAGCACGATATACTGGAACAAAGTCAAGTGTCAGATTTAGGAGATGAGTGGTTTCAGATTTTAGCATGACAAAGTTAAGTTTCAGATTTAGTAGATGAGATGTTCTAAAAAAAATTAAGACCAACCCAATAACTAATCCTCATTGGTTTTTTATAGGAGAAACTCCACGAGCGCCGCAAGTCAGAGCCGAGGCTCGAACATGGGCGGGCTGACAGCAACTCCGGCTGCCTAGCCAACGGGTTGACGCCCCGTCCTCAGATAAGATGTTTTAGATTTAGCAGAACATGAGATGTTTCAAACCACCCGCATCCATCGGGACCGCACGGTTCGGACGTGTTTTGCCAGCCAACACGATCTTATACCTGTCCACGGATCGGTCTGGACGTATTTTTTCTTGCAAACCGGAAGCAACCCATAGGGCTTGGCGGACGTTCGGATCACTGCCACACATGCGTTCGACAACCTTGGCCCACCCAAAACCCTCTTCCACCCCTCCCGCGCTTTCTCTCCAACCGATGCGCCACTTCCTGCGCCGCATTCATTCCAGCCCATACCCGTAACGACCGGCTTTGATGCCACGGGAAGCGACCGGACGGGAGGGTGTCACTGATCAACAGGCTCGCCACTTCAATGCGGACGTGTTGTCCCGAGAAACCAAGCCGGCCGTTGCACCGCATTCGCCAAGTCGGACGAGGCGTCGGCCTAGGTCCGCAATGAAACGGACTTGGTGGCGGCCTAGGCTCCCGACCGGCCCGTCACCACCGCAGAGACAGATGCGTGCCGCCACCGCCGCCCCGACGGGAAGCTCGACAAGATTGGCGAGGAACGGTCGCTGGCGACACCTCCGCTAATGCCGGCCGGGCCAAGGCGCCACGCGGCGCTCCACACGGTACAAAAGGAAGTGGAACGGCTCCTCCATGAGTGTCAAGCGGCGGCCGGCAAGGCTGCCGCGGCCCCGTGTCCTTCTGCCGCTAGAAGGACGACGGCGACGGCACGGACAACGATGGTGGTGCGGCCGGCCAGGGCGGCCACGTATGCGTGGTCGTCGTCTGCTGCAAGTTAGCATCCTAGAACTTTGTGAGCCTATCATTGATGAATATTCGTCCGTTTTAATTAAATTTTGTTAGAGGAATATCAAGCAGAACATGTAAACGAGAGGAATTTGTGAGCCTATCATTCATGTTGTAAATAGATAATATTATTGGAGAGCAGATCGTTGATGTTGTCAACACCAATGAATTTGTGAGCATGTGGTTAGAATAAATCCGAGACATACCGTCAATCATCCGAGAACCAAGCAATCACACGAGGCATGACACCGAGATTTGTTAACGAGATTCATCGATATGGCTACATCCCCGGGGCTTGACTACGGGCGCTCCTCCCCGTGACACCGTCACAATACCGCACACCGGCCATCCGGGCGCCGGCACACGTCGCCGGCTCCCCCTTGCGCGCCTGTGCTATTATGTTGGCATAGGTTATATCGTGTGTCTACCCCCACTATATATGAGAGGCCTAGGATACAAGTGTCCTACTAGGACACTGTTGGGGATCGTAGCACAAATTCAAAATTTTCTACGCATCACCAAGATCAATCTATGGAGTAATCTAGCAACGAGGGGAAGGAGAGTGCATCTACATACCCTTGTAGATCGCTAAGCGGAAGCGTTCAAGTGAACGGGGTTGATGGAGTCGTACTCGTCTTTGATCCAAATCACCGATTATCCTAGCGCCGAACGGACGGCACCTCCGCGTTTAACACACGTACGGTTGGGAGATACGTCTCCTCCTTCTTGATCCAGCAAGGGGGGGAAGAGAAGTTGATGGAGATCCAGCAACACGACGGCGTGGTGGTGAAAGTAGCGGGATCTCGGCAGGGCTTCGCCAAGCTCAGCGAGAGGGAGAGGTGTCACGGAAGGGAGAGGGAGGCACCAGGGGCTTGGGTGCGGCTGCCCTCCCTCCCCCCACACTATATATAGGGCCCCTAGGGGGGCGCCGGCCCTAGAAGATCCAATCTCCAGGGGGGCGGCGGTCAAGGGGGGAAACTTGCCCCCCAAGCCAAGTGGGGCGCCTCCCATCCCTAGGGTTTCCAACCCTAGGCGCAGGGGGAGGCCCAAGGGGGGCGCACCAGCCCACCAGGGGCTGGTTCCCACGTCACTTCAGCCCATGGGGCCCTCCGGGATAGGTGGCCCCACCCGGTGGACCCCCGGAACCCTTCCGGTGGTCCCAGTACAATACCGATTACCACCGAAACCTTTCCGGTGGCCGAAACTGGACTTCCTATATATAAATCTTTACCTCCGGACCATTCCAAAACTCCTCGTGACGTCCAGGATCTCATCTGGGACTCCGAACAACTTTCCGATTACCGCATACTAATATCTCTACAACCCTAGCGTCACCGAACCTTAAGTGTGTAGACCCTACGGGTTCGGGAACCATGTAGACATGACCGAGACAACTCTCCGGCCAATAACCAACAGCGGGATCTGGATACCCATGTTGGCTCCCATATGTTCCATGATGATCTCATCGGATGAACCACGATGTCGAGGATTCAATCAATCCCGTATACAATTCCCTTTGTCTAGCGGTATTGTACTTGCCCGAGTTTCGATCGTCGGTATCCCGATACCTTGTTCAATATCGTTACCGGCAAGTCTCTTTACTCATTCCGTAACACATCATCCCGTGATCAACTCCTTGGTCACATTGTGCACATTATGATGATGTCCTACCGAGTGGGCCCAAAGATACCTCTCCGTCACACGGAGTGACAAATCCGAGTCTTGATTCATGCCAACCCAACAGACACTTTCGGAGTTACCCGTAGTGCACCTTTATAGCCACCCAGTTACGTTGTGACGTTTGGCACACCCAAAGCATTCCTACGGTATCCGGGAGTTGCACAATCTCATGGTCTAAGGAAATGATACTTGACATTAGAAAAGCTTTAGCATACGAACTACACGATCTTGTGCTAGGCTTAGGATTGGGTCTTGTCCATCACATCATTCTCCTAATGATGTGATCCCATTATCAACGACATCCAATGTCCATGGTCAGGAAACCATAACCATCTATTGATCAACGAGCTAGTCAACTAGAGGCTTACTAGGGACATGGTGTTGTCTATGTATCCACACATGTATCCGAGTTTACTATCAATACAATTCTAGCATGGATAATAAACGATTATCATGAACAAGGAAATATAATAATAACCAATTTATTATTGCCTCTAGGGCATATTTTCAACAGACACGACTCCACATCCTATGTAAACACAATACAACTCCTACTCCAATTGTAACCTATCTTGTACACTATATTCGACACAACTCCAACAAATTCCACCTTGGTGAATATTCTCCACCACCTTGAATTCGTCAATGCGTCAAACTTCCATGTACATTGGACTTGAGCTTATCCCATGAAAACCGCTGCTACTCCAAAGACTCCATATGACTCCACCTGCAATTTGTAGTCCCTTCTTTTCTTAACCACAGTCAACACTCGAGCAAAATTAAGTTCCTTGTTACTCTAGTCTGTGCTCCCAACTTCCAGAGTATCAGTCCAACGCCATCACACACTGATCACTGACCTATGTGAA